TGAGTTATTCTATCATTCCTGCATGTGGCTAGAACTTTGAAGACAGGGACGTGGAGACTGGGGAAAAAGACTGGCACTGTTTTCTTTGTGACAGTGCCAGTTCAATTACTTGTGTTGTATAGGGTTGGGGTTTTTTTTTTAATCTTGGTTAATGAATGAGCATTACTTTTTTTTGCCATTCTTAATATAATAAATAGAGGAGAGAGGTCTCTGTGTTGTTACACTGGTATCTCCGTAATCTAGGCTTTGTTCCAGGCTTCTGAAATTAATTTGGGAAAATTCATTTATGTCTTTCTGTCTCAGTCCACTATCTGTAAAATGAGAATGATTAATGTTCCTAACTCTTAGGGGGTTCTTCAGGACTTCTATGTAGAATGCGGCACATTTAGGTTCTACAAGTTTGAAGGGCCTGAAAAAAAACCACAACAAAATAAACCTAACAGAATATGTAAAGGTAAATCATATTCACTATTCCTCTGTCACTATTATCAATTGCTACTTCATTTCATTGGATTCAAGCCCCAGTGTTAAGTTCCTGTTAACAGGGTAGATAGCAGCAGAAGAAAATAACAGCACCATGACAAGACTCAGCAAAACTAATATTAAGAGATTCTCCAGGTTGTCTGTTGCTCTCTCAAAGCAGAGATTAAAATAATTGTTTAATGTACAGCTGTTCTTGGAGCGCGTATTTTTCTTTGATGGGCCTGGAGTCAGGACCACCTTTAAAGTAGTGGAAGATGGCTACCTCTGACCTTTGGGTGGTCCAATCAGGGTGATATATGCCTGCTGAGATGTGGGTTGCTTTCAGTCTTGCTCCCAAAAGAAAGCAAGCCAGTAAATTATATTCTCTAATCCATGCTGTAGTTTAGCTGGTGTCTTCTCTGTGCTCCTGGGCAGAGGCTAAGATACAGTACACGCTGGGTTTAAGCAGCAATTCAGCAACAAACAGAGCAATATGTTGTAAGCCAGCTGATGGTGTCTATATGATTTACTTTCTCCTGCATTTGTAGGAATCGGCCTTTTTTTTGGCAGGGTGCAGAGAAATGCAAATGGTTCAGCTTTACAGAGTTGACATTTGCTCTCAATTTCCCTCAGGTTGAGTAGCTCCACTGAGCAAAGTACTTCATCCCGGCTTATACGGAAGCATAAACGCAGGAGGAGGAAACAAAGGATGCGGCAGATTGACAGGGTAAGGTTGGCATCGTAATTTTCCAAGGAGGTGAACCGTGATTTTGAGTGTAGCATGTGAATTAGGAAGGGATCCAGAACAGATCTGTGCCCTGTTGAATTCATTGGAAAAGGCTCCCTTCGGCTCCAGTCTACCCTGGACTAAATCTCTAGCGTTTGAAGTCCTGCAGCACTAGAGTCAAGACTTTTTCTCCTCTCCCTTTCTCCTTTTACTGTTATGTGATCGCATTTCTCATCTCTTTCAAGACCAGCCTCTGCGGGAGAACCTCCATTATGCTGCTGGCTGATGTGGGCAAGGGGTGTCTGTGGTGATAGACATCTGATATATAAATTGCCAAGACTTGCATTCTGCTGAAAGGAGAAATCCACGTTTATAGGAAATTGCAAATCTTTTCTCTTGCCCTTTTCTGTGCTAGTCCTATGGTAGCAGAATGAGGATCGTCCACATGACATACTTCTTGAAGTAACTGTTTCGTTCTCCTATAAGTATCAGTCTTCCCAGATTAAAGAATGAGTATGCCTACATTTTATCACAAGAACTGGAGTAACATTTTAGAAGATATTTGATAAGCACATTTGTATTTCATTTGGGGGCGGGGGGATGTGTCTGTCTTCTCACTTGCTGAAGGATCATGTGCTGTGCACTCCTCTCTTTAGGGAGGAGCCGTGAGTGTAATAATTCACACTGCGCTGGGCACGTTAGCATTTAAATGTCTGCCTGTCAGTGATGTAGTCGGGAAGCAGAAATGATTCCTTGTGAAGTTCAGTTGAGAAACCTCAATATAGGAACTTGCTCTGTGTGTTTTGTGAACAAATCTTTGGAGAAAGTGCAGATTGTGTTCAGATTTTTTTTCCTTACAGATTCTAAATGAAGAATAATTTTGAGGAGACCACAATGGTTTCTGGATGCCTTCCAAATGGAAACCTATTTATCAGTTCCCGATGAATTAATCCTCAGTAGTTATTTTTATTGTCTTATTCTGAGCCATTTAAAACCTTGAGAATTTTCTGTTGTATTTTGCAGTCGTCTTCGTTCAGCAGCATCACTGATTCTACCATGTCCCTAAATATCATCACTGTCACACTCAACATGGGTAAGAGAATAAACAATCTTTTTTTGTGATGAATTTCAAGTGATACAGATGTTTTTTGTTATGGAGTAGTAGCCTTTGGAGCCAGTAGAAAGTTCCTTCACTGGAAAGGATGCCAGCTGAACTAAAGGGAATGGCAGCTGAGAGCTGCTGCTCTGTTGACACTGCCTGGATTCCTAGTCCAGTACTGGATGGTTCTGAGCTGTTTGCACAAGCAGATCAGTATTCTTACCGAGAAGCCCAGGGAAGGAACTGGAACTCCAGGATATGGAGTTCTGCTCTTATTTCTAGGAATGGTAAAGGGTCAGACATTGTCAAAAGCAAGAGTAGAAGGGCACTGGAGGTTTGCATTTCTGCTGCTCATGCGTTTCATTGTTTAGCCAGATAGAAATGTGCAGGACTGCCAATTCAGGACCTTTCAGTAGCACCAAATCCTTCCTGCCACTCTGATGTGTGCAAAAAACATTGCCTAATGCTGATGTGGTGCTTAATTTCTAGGTGTAGACAAGTCTTTGCAATGTTGTTTCTCTTGCTGATTCTTTGAATGTAACTTTTCAGTGTCCTGTATGAAAAAATAATGTCTTTAGCAACGTTTCCCTGCTGCCTTCCCCTGAGCATGCCAGGCAGACATACACCAGTAGGGTAACCTGAGATAATTGTAAGTCAAAAATGTCCTAGCTGATGTGTTGAGAGAACTGATTTTCAAACTGAAGTAGCCTGGTGTTAGTTCTTCACTATCATTCCAATCACCTTGTTTGCTTTTTTCCCCCCCACCCTCCACTTTCTATCTGTATAGAAAAGTATAACTTCCTGGGAATCAGCATTGTAGGACAGAGCAATGACCGGGGTGATGGTGGCATATACATTGGCTCTATTATGAAAGGAGGGGCTGTGGCAGCAGACGGCCGAATTGAACCAGGAGACATGCTTCTGCAGGTTGGTCCATGTCCCAAAAATACGTGCTGCTGGCTTGTACGTTGGTGGCGCAGCTCAGTCATCCCGCCAGATCCATCGACTTAGTTAACAGAATTCATTCGTACTCAGAGAAATGTGTCGCAAAGACTATTATCGCTTAAATCTGTAATTCTTTGTGAACTCTGCTGGATGGTTGATGTGCTCCGAGAAACAGTATTTCTGCAGCTGCTCAAAGGAATGGAAACAGTTACAAGGCAAATAAATTTGGAAACAAATAATTAAAATGTCTTTAACTTTCCTGTTGCAAAGCCTGACCTCTGCTTTTTGCAACATTTCAGGTGAATGATGTCAATTTTGAGAACATGAGCAATGATGATGCAGTACGGGTTTTACGGGAAATAGTCTCCAAACCAGGGTGAGCATATTACAAAATCTTTTGCTACTTATCCTCCATATGTGGTTATTGGTATTGGGTGAACCTCAGAGAAATCAACGTCTTGATCTCAGTAAGCAACAAGCGTGACTGCTGATCTCAACTCTGAACTTCTCAGTGTAAATGATGAAAAGGTGAGACTGGTTCCAAGGTACCAGCCAAAACCAACGCAAACTAGGAGTTGCCTGGTTTCAGTAGCACTATTTGTTTATACAGTGAGCGTTTTAATATCGCAAGAGTTTATCATTCGACAGATTTCACATTTTCATGATCTATGCAAAACCAGAAACATCCTGATACGGGTTCATACTGAAAATACTTCAACAAGCATCTCACAGGCATTCTCAGAATGTACTTGGCAACTGTTGGATAGGAATAAGTTTGTTTCAAAGAGTTCATTGTAGCAGTTACAATTTCTTTAGGGAAAGTTAAGTCACCCTTCCTTGTTTTCTTTCTTCCTAGACCTATCAGCCTAACAGTAGCCAAATGCTGGGACCCCACTCCCAGGAGTTATTTCACCATCCCCAGGGGTGAGTACATATTTGTGCTCTTTGCTGGGTTCCTGTGGAGCCCTCAAGGTCTAGAATATTTTCAGCTATTTTGGTATCTAACATATTTCTGTTCCCCACAAGTTCGATACTTTTAAGTTTGGTTGTATTATTTGTTTGCTTTTTGTTTTGGGAGGCAGGGGTTTAAGGTACTCTTTCTGAGACTCCAGTGCCCACTGAACTCATGGGAGTTTTTCTTTTGATTCACATGGCTTTGGATCAAGCTCTTAACCTTTTGGTGGGTATATCCTCATGATCTTAACCTTTCAATTGATAGAAAGTTTGGAGGATAACTATACTTAACTGTTAAAAAGCCTCATTTTATCACATGTACACTTATTAGAAGAAGTTGAACTGAGTATTTTTAAAATTTGAGGCAAACAATGTTGTTTAATATACATAAAACCTCTTGAAAATGATCTAATTTTAAAACTTCTGGCTTAATAAACCTTTCAGTAGCTATAAAAGATCTGTGCTCATGTGACAAACACAGCTGCCTCCTACTGGTGAGTGCTCTGCTTATGATATTGAAACCAGGTTGTTACCAGTCCTGAGAAGATGAGGATAGCATTGTCCATTGAAATGAATGCAGTAGACTCATTCAGACTATGGGAGCTCACTCAGTGAAGTCTTTAGGAAAAGCAGCATAATCAAAAGAAAAATCCCACAAATCACATATTTCAGATATTCTACAGGGAGAGCTTGTGTATCAGTTTGTCCTTTGTTCAGCGAAGATGCATCCATTATTATCCAAGGCAAATAGCAGTATATCTGTTACAGGGTTAAACGGGTTGCAACAACGTGTGGGATATATTGAGGAAATACCTAACATAGGCAGAGCTCTTTTACATAATTTCTGGTTTTAAGGCAATGGAACAACAGTCATTATAATTCAGAAGAAAAGAAGTAATCCAGATTATGGGGAAAATTGAGTTTTCTTCCCAGCTTTAAAAATTACTTGCTATGTGGCTCTTCTTAAGGTCTGAGTCTAATTTTCATTCTTCTCTGACACCAGTCTCTTCAAATGTCTTTATATGTCTCGTCCATTTATTTTGCAAGATTATGCCAGTCCTAAAAGTTTCATTGTGGCTGCTGAAAACACTGGGAGGAGAATTCCATGATGCCTCATCTCTGCAAATACAGATCTCTAGAGTTACTGTTCTCATTCACCTTCAGCAGAAGATTCACCTTCTGCCTGAGTGGTTATTTTGGATCCAAGACCATTAGAAGTAGGATGAGATCTTCGCGTCGGCTGGGGCAAAGCATTTGGTAGTACTTCACATCGTAGCAAAATGAGAACCTCTATCTCACTGTATAGAATAATAGCGAAATGTTATTACTGGACTGGTAGCTGCTTTCCCACCGGAGGAAATACTTCACTCCTACCGCAGTTACAGCAACGGGAGCGTCATGGCTTTATCCTGTTAGGCTGGTGCGGCAATTGCTAGAGGAGACCAGCTACTGCTGGCAAGATGCTTTTTGTTCCCTCGTGCTGGGGCTATCTCTGTTGTACTGTCAGAATGGCAAGGACTCGTGCACCCCCAAAAAATTCCTTCTTACTCTAGGTCCTAGCGTTTACTGCAAATCTGATTCCATTTGTCTTTTTCTCCCTTTCTGGTTGTTTTGCAGCTGAACCAGTGAGGCCAATTGACCCTGCAGCGTGGATCTCTCATACCACAGCCATGACGGGAGCGTACCCCCGTTACGGTATGAGCCCCTCCATGAGCATCACCACATCTACCAGCTCCTCACTAACAAGCTCAATTCCCGATTCGGAAAGTAAGTCACACTGCGGCCAGCACAGGGCAGGCGTCTTCTGCTCGGGGCCAGCAGTGCAGAGCTGTGCACAAAACCAACCCCAGCCACAAGCACGATGAAAACGACAGCCACCACAGAACTCTTGAATGCTTTCTTAAATTTGTAATTCTTACGGGGAGCATAAAAACCTTTTTCCAAAGGTCAGAAGTTAACGCAGTGGTGTTTTGCCAGGGTTCACGTTCAGGAAGAGGTGGCTTCTGGTCCCTTTTAAAGTTACAAGGCAGGCCTCCAGCTTTGTCCCCTCAGATGAATGTGAGAGCTTCCTCCTTGCATTTGACTGTTTTTTAATAAATTTAAATAATTTACTTCAGATAGATGTCACTGGATAATAATGTGAGTTTATCATTTAGGAAATCTTCCACTGATATTTGCATAGACGACTTTTATACTTTTTTATACTTTTAGAATTTATTGAATAAGGAAAAAAAAAAATGTAATGTCCCACGTGAAATTATGGTTAGAGTTCAGCCTTCTTTCCTGTTTGTATCTCTGGCAGTCTCTGAACTAGTGATATCCGTGTAACCAACAAGTTGTCATGATTCCTTATCTTGGAAATTTTTGTTTAAAGAATATAAACTCTTCCTTTCTTTTACTCTTCCTTTGCTTTCTGATACAAGTGTGGGATAAAAGCTAGCATGTGGTTTGAAATACATGGCAGTAAGGCAAGACAAATAAATGAGGAGCATGTATCTCTGAGAACACTGTCCACTGAAGTCCTAGTTCAGGAAAGTGTTCATATTTAAAACAGCACCTCTGTTTACTTGACAGAAAATTTTTGAAGTACTTTACACCTCATTAGCATGTGTTTGTTTCCTGTAATATTAATTTGGAAGAATTTCTCTGGAGATGCAACCTTTCTATCAGATTTGTTCATCTGTAGCAAGAAGATTTGTTATATTTGTTTATATACACATAGAAATCTTGAAGTGGCTTTGAAATTCTGAGGAGATTATCTCATTTGTGGAACGATGCTACCTCAGTATGCATTTGTGGAAAGCCAGATAAATACTTACATGTTTAACAAGGGATGCTTAAGTGTCTGCCAGATCTGGAGTCTAAATTCAGGACTCAGTAACTTTTTTCATTTTGTAACATTTTTCCAGAGAGAGAGGGAGGATATAATTTAGAAAAAAACAACAAATGAAATGAACAAGAAAAACAACACTTTGAGGATTTTAAAGACCAATGTGGTGTTGGTGATTAGTGACAGAATCTTCCCTGGACAAATGCATGGCTGAAGCCTGAAAGTTGCATTTGCAGGAAGCAGTTAAGTCCTATCAGACTGCATAAGTGTCTGCCTCTTTTTCTTCTATCCCTCTCAGATTTTATAGGCACATAGTTCCTGGAATTGCACCTCACCTTGAATTGAAAGGGTGGTTACCCTTTTTGTAGGTGTAGTAGCTCAGTGCCTCTTTGGATAGTAGGCAGCACCATTGAAGGGGAAACACATCCACAGTAGGAAGCAAGTGAACCACTTACATGATGACTGCTTCATCTTGAGATGTGTTTTCAGCCTTACAGGTACTAAAGATTACTGGAATCAAATGTATCTGCTGATTGATGTCAAACAACAAGAGTCTGTTACTCTGCATTCCTCTTGAACTATTCATGTATCGTGTGCCTTGACATATAGTGATGTGATTGGGAAGTATGGAACGCAGACACCCTCTCAACCATACATTTAAAATAAAGGTTATTTGGGAGCAGAACAACATTTCTGGAGACAGCTTCTCATTTCTATGCTCATTTCTAACAATGTTTCTTTTCCGGAATGCAAGAAAACGCGGAGCACCCCTGACATTTACTGTGACCTCCTGCTTAACACTCCTTCCTTCAGTTCAGTCCTGTTACCCCCGCCCCAAACACGGCAGGAGCACCTCAGGGCCCTAGGTACCAAGAGGACCTGTCGTGTGAACCTCTTTGGCAGGAAAGACAAAGTTGGGGAGGAACAGAGGAGGGGAGAGAGAGGCGAGGAGAGTCTGCGCATCGACATCTGGAAGAACGAAGAGCTTCATGCAAAATGGGGCTGTCTAACTTTTCGTGTTCCAGTGCAAGATTCTCTGTTTCAGTTCCTCTGAGGCTAGAGCCGCTGGTATTTGAAGCAAATATAATATCTATTCTACAGTATCTGGCTGTGAAAGTGGAAGCAGTGAATTAGCGTAGTCATCTTAGACAAGTCTGCTTCATGGTTCCTTGTTTTAAGCATTGTGAATGTCTGCCGTCTTACTCTGTATAGCAAGGCCAGGATAATGTACATGGGCTGAATAACTGCTTTTTCCTGCTCTCTAGCCTCTGGATCAAAAATGAAGTTCTGATATCTGAAGCATTTGCACAGCCGCTGTCACGTTGGTGCTCGTGATTAAAGTAGCTGAGATTTTAGGGCCACACAAATCACCACCACACAGTAGGAATTATTCTGTGTTAGCTCCTTATTTTCTCAGATACATTTCTTCAAAAACAGGACTGTGCAAGCCAAGGCAGACTGAGGTGTTTCATAGTAATTACTGCTTTAAAAAGTATCTTGTTCTCCAGCAGTGTTCTGGCTGATGCAGGAGAATATTCTCTCACAGTGGTTTGCGAGAGTTAGACTCGCTGCCTCAGTCAGTGCAAACCCTGCTCCTCATTTACTCTGCTAAAGGTAGATTTTTCCAGCCCCTGTTCTGCCGCTACAGGACCCCTTTCTGCAAAGTAGTGTTGTCCCATTCCATGAGATTAACTTCAAGTGTTTCTGTGTTTCTTGAAAGTCTTGCTGTTTCAAAATGCAGCCCGCTGACGTTGTTGCAGAGTTCTCTTTTTCTCTTGCATGGACTTCAGAGGATTTTGAATTGAGACTTCAGACTATTTCTGCTTAATAGTATTCAGCCTGAGGTACTGCGTAATTTCCTGGGGCCTTTTTGTTTGGGCAGATGTGTACCTCCTTACTCAAATAAGGATGCAAACCAGTGGTGGTATTACATGTGGTAGGACTTTGTTTTCCTGAAGCATACACCTCTTTTATTACCAGGATCTGCTAATGGGGAAAAAATGCCACTCAAAACCAATAACTGAAGCCCTGAGAAAGAGCTTTGTGGTAGATCTGGTTCCCCAGAAAGGAGTTACTGTCTGTGCTGTTCCTCAGATTGGCACGTACCTGTACAGGTGGTCAGGTAGTCAGGCCCACAGCTGACGGAGTTCAGACCAAAGTGGGTGCATTTTAGATGCATCTTAGAATTTTTCATATTTGTACAGCAACTAGCAAACTTGGAAAATATTGACGATCATTTGGCTGGTGTTGTTCTTTATATGCAGATTGCAGATCTCCAAGAAAATACAATTTATTGCTCCCCACATACTTTACTTGAATATTGGGTTGGTTTTTTTTTTCCCCAGAAACAAACATGTTGCTTTTTGCCACTAACCAAACTAACTTAAAGCAAAAGCAAAATTTTAGTGTTTATGCAAACTTTTTAAGTATTGAAACTGCATGCATAGATGGTCTGGGATATTTTCATGCATATTGGCAGTGCATGTATTGAAAGAAGCATTTTCAGTTTTTATTGTTTCATACTTGTTGTACCTTTTATCAAAATTTTGGGTTGCTGGAAAAGGGCAAAATTGGTTCCCCTGTGCTTTCGAAAGGTGGGTGACATGGGAAGCTGGGAGAAGGGAGGGGAGGAGGGCTTCTGCATTCCTGTTCCTGCTGGAGGAGGGTCTGAACTACAAACACAGGACACGCATGCTTGACGTGAATTTTCTAGGGCTGAGAAGATGGGAGCAGGAAGGAAGACTGTGTGCTATATCCAAAGAATATAGTTTTATTATGTAGAGACAGGATGATGGAGTTCTGCACAGCCACCACAAGAAGGCTGGCTGACTCTTGGACCCAGACTCACCCCACTGGGCTTTCAATATTAGAAACCACTTTGCCTCTATGTGTGGCAGAGAAGGAGTTTCTAAAGGAACTAGACTCCTGTGGTAGGCACCTCAGTTCAGCCGG